ATTGAGATCCATACGTAGCTTTTTTTCTATAATGTGACACATTTTCCATTGACTTTTTGGAGAGTCCTTGTCTGCATAGATTTCAGGGTTTTTTTTGTTTGTTTTGCATGTGGAGAAGCTTCTCATCCCATCTCCATGAATGTTTTGAAGTGTGCTTGTCCTTAATGCTACTGTACTGTACACGTAAAAGTTAAAACTGCAGATTTTATGATATGTATATTTGACCTCAGCTACTGAAAACTGAAGAGTAAAAAGAAGTGGGCAGAAGAGCACTTAACAGCAGTCTCTCGGGTGGAGGGCCTGGTGGTGACTGAGCACCCTCGAGAGCCAGGCACTGTGTCAGCCATCGGCCTTATAATGACCACAGTGAGTCCAAATGGGCCCATTGCACAGCAGGATACACTGAGGCTCTGAGTGGAAGTGGCTCACTTGAAACCACGTTGTAAGAGTGAGTCAGCATTTGAGCCCAGATGTGGAGGTCTAATGGCAAGCTGACTCTAATTGGGGCAAGTTCGGTTTTTATTTTTTGCCCAGAGGACTTTTAATACCATAAACTGGGTAGCTAACAAAACCCAGAAACTTCTCATAGCTCAAAAGGCTGGGCAGTCCGCAACCGAGGGTGAGCTGGTGTCTGGCGAGGGCCCGCTTCCTGCTTCCATGGCCGTGTCCACAGTGACCTGACGTTCCGGAAGGGGGGAGGGCCTCTCCTGGGCTGCTTTTAGGAGGGCACCGGCGCCATTCCTGAAGGCTGTGACCCTGTGACTCAGTCGCCTCCCACAGGCCCCTCCTCCTAACACCATCACATCTTCACAATGAGGTTTTTTTTTTTTTTTTTTTTTTTTTTTTTTGACAGGCAGAGTGGACAGTGAGAGAGAGAGACAGAGAGAAAGGTCTTCCTTTGCCGTTGGTTCACCCTCCAATGGCCGCCGCGGCCGGCGCACCGCGCTGATCCGATGGCAGGAGCCAGGAGCCAGGTGCTTCTCCTGGTCTCCCATGGGGTGCAGGGCCCAAGCACCTGGGCCATCCTCCACTGCACTCCCTGGCCACAGCAGAGAGCTGGCCTGGAAGAGGGGCAACCGGGACAGAATCCGGCGCCCCGACCGGGACTAGAACCCGGTGTGCCGGCGCCGCTAGGCGGAGGATTAGCCTAATGAGCCGCGGCGCCGGCCCACAATGAGGTTTTTAACACCTGAGTGAGCATAAACATTCAAAACCACAGCAGCTCTTTTTTTTTTTTTTTTTTTTTTTTTTTTGGTAAGTTTTGTTTATTTGAAGGCCAGTTACAGAGAGAGGCAGACATAAAGATCTTCCACCTGCTGGTTCATTCTCCAGATGGCTGCAATGGCTGGGTCTGAGCCAGGCCAAAGCCAGGAATTCCTCCAGGTCTCCCACGTGTGCAGTAGAGGCCCAGGCACTTGGGCCATCCTCCGCTGCCTTCCCAGCCAGTAGCAGGGAGCTGATCAGAAGTGGAGCAGGCCAGACTCCAGTGCCTATGTGGGATGCTGGCATTGCAGGTGGCGGCTTTACCTGCCGTGCCACAGCAGTTAAAATCTTAGCTCTTCCCTGACAAGCATTCTCAACAGTTCTCTGCTTATCCCTAAGGGGCACCTGGGGGGTGCAGTGCTTCCTGGGGAAGGGTCCCTTAGTGGGAACCTCCCCTTGCCTGCCTCCTGCCCCAGACTGCCCAGAGCTTCTAGTCTCGGGAAGTGACTGTGCCTCCTGCTGCTGCTGCCGCTCAGGGGCCCGCATCGGCTCCCCAACCAGACAGGCGCTTCATGCCAGACAAAGAGGACTCCTCATTTAATCGTCCCCACGCGGCTCCCGCTCCTCCAGGCACACCCCAGCCAGGGGCCCCCTGAGCAGAAGGTCTGGGACTTGCCCAAAGCCTGACTGTACTCCTGTTCTCATTCTCATTTCTGAGTGGTCCTTCCCTTTCTTCTCTGAGTTGTGTCCTCCCTGGTTCTGAACTTGAGCCAGTGGAAACTCCCCATGCGCCACCACCCATCGCACTCTTGGGCTGTGTCCGTGCTGGAGGCGTTTCATCACCAGTCTGGGTTTTTCCACGCAGCAGCAGCAGAGACCACACAGTGAGCACAGAGCCGGGAGCCACCAGGTGGCCCAGGAGTGAGGGAGTCGTCTCACCTGGGGGAGCTCCTGGGCTGACCTCCTGCAGGATTTTGTACCTACGTTGACCTTACAGGGCTGTACCTGGTGCATCCGTTGGGAGCTGACTTGAATTGACTTGTCTACAGTGGACCCCTGAAGATACAGTGGTTCCAGGTTGGGGAAGAGAGTCCCTGGTGGAAATGAACCTGAGGAGAGCTTAAGCAGCTTCTTCGACTTTTGTTTTGTTTTTAGCAAGTCGGCTGGTGAGGAAGAAAGTGAACTTTACTCTTATGTCGCAGGTTTCATTCAATTCTTCCTGGGGTATGGACCTCAGCCCTGCCTCGCGTTACAAAAAGAAGCAAAACAAAACCAAAAAACCCACATATTTAATTCTGAAAGTCTTGAACTTCCTGCTGTAAAATCCAGAAAAATCTAAAGGAGCAAATTGTAATTCTTTCACCTGGACATAAGTTGTTAGTATTTTGGTTAGTATTTGGTTAGTATATATATATATATGCGCTTACTGTTTCTTACAACATCTCAGGAGTAGGCCGTAAAGTTGTTTGAAGACTGAATTTGTAGTTTTGCAGTGTTATAAATAATCCATCTTCGTGGTTATGCCTCTGTCCTCATTTACGATGATTTCCTTGGGAGGGCACCTTAGCACTTTAGAATGAAAGCAGTTGTTTGCGTTTCTTCCTTATGGAGGAGTTGTTTTCTGATAGACTTGTGCACATACCAGCGTTCCTGCGGCACAGGGTCCCACGTCTTCCTGTCTTTTCTTCATCATTTCAACCTGGTGATGTTTGTACAGTGGAAAGCAGAGCCCCCTGGGCATCCGGATTTACATTTGGTTATTAGTGCCCTTGAGTGCTTTGTGTGGCTAATATTGGCCCCTTGCATTTCATTGTTCCTGTCCCTGACCCTTCCTCTGTGAGCTCCGCTAAGTAAGGGCTGTTTCTGAGTGCAGCTTAGGGACCCTTTGTCATAGTCGCAGCTCCTTTTCTCTGTCACTTGTTGATTGTATGTGTTTGTATTTAAGGCAGTTTTGAATTGACATAGATGGTGCACTCTGCTGTTATCACTTTTAGCTTCTTACAAAGGCAAGGTTTCCTTCTGAATGTGGGAGGTACAAGTTATAGCTTGGGGCCGGTGCCGTGGCTCAATAGGCTAATCCTCCACCCATGGCGCCAGCACACCAGGTTCTAGTCCTAGTCAGGGCGCCGGATTCTGTCCCGGTTGCCCCTCTTCCAGTCCAGCTCTCTGCTATGGCCCGGGAGTGCAGTGGAGGATGGCCCAAGTTCTTGGGCCCTGCACCCGCATGGGAGACCAGGAGAAGAACCTGGCTCCTAGCTGCGGATCAGCGCGGTGCGCTGGCTGCAGCGCGCCAGCCACAGCAGCCATTGGAAGGTGAACCACCGGCAAAGGAAGACCTTTCTCTCTGTCTCTCTCTCTCAACTCTCCACTCTGCCTGTCAAAAACAAAAAATTAAAAAAAAAAAAAGTTATAGCTCGAGCTTACCTCGAGTCCTCTTTCTAGTCTGTCATTTCCCATTGTTGGCTGCTGTCTGGACTAGAGTAACTTTGAACCTACCCCTTCACCTTCTTCCAACATCCTTTCACATGAAGTTTAAAAGTCACTTTGTCGGGCCGGTGCCGTGGCTCACTTGGTTAATCCTCTGCCTACGGTGCCGGCATCCCATATGGGCGCCGGCTTCTAGTCCCGGTTGCTCCTCTTCCAGTCCAGCTCTCTGCTGTGGCCTGGGAGTGCAGTGGAGGATGGCCCAAGTGCTTGGGTCCTGCACCCACATGGGAGACCAGGAGAAGCACCTGGCTCCTGGCTTTGGATCGGCACAGTGCCGGCCATAGCGGCCATTTGGGGGTGAACCAATGGAAGGAAGACCTTTCTCTCTGTTTCTCCCTCTCACTCTCTGTAACTCTACCCATCAAAAAAAAAGTCACTTTGTCTACATGAAAAAAGAAAAGTTCCCTCCATTTGGCAAAAGACACTTAAAAAAATAGGATGAATAGGATCATGCATTTTTCAAAAAAGAAGACTTTGCACAGTTGAGGGAACCCAGTGAGGGCATCTTGCCGAATACCCTGTGTGCCAGCTGTAGAATCCACAGGGCAGTGCGTTGTAAGACAGAGGGCTATTTCTGCTCTCCCGGACTCCTGTGGTGAAAGAACTCGCACCTTTTCCAAACCAGAGGCATCCTTCTGGTTGATAGCCGCTTCCCGCTTACGAGATTATCCTTGGAGCCACGGCCTCGTGGTCTGCAGGTGGTGCATGTGCCTGGGCCGGAGCCTCAGCCCGGGGCAGACACGCAGCAGTGTTCCCAGCTGCAGACCATCGGGAGTCTTCCAGGGCTGGGTCCCTGGTGCTCCGAAGAGGTTCTTCATGGATTTTGCAAACTGTGAAGCACCGAATGCCCAGCAGTCGAGACTAATGAGGCAGGTGTTCCATGTCTGTCTTTATATGTTTATGGAAGGATCTTCCTGTAAGGTTCTGCTTCGGGCCTTGCTGAGATGTTCAGGCAGGCTGGACCTGAACACTCTAAGATCCCTTCTGTTTCTAAAACGGAACCGCTCTGTACCTTTCCTGCCATCAGCGCACCTCGGAGTCTTTCCCAAAAGTGCTTTTGCAGGTGTCACGTTCTCTCTTCCTCTTCAACAGACAGGGAAACCCAGACCCACCAATTTCAGATTCAGAATCAGGTCAAGGCTTCTGCTCCCTCTCCGCCCCTCCCATTCCAAACATGTCTTTGGCTCCCCCTGCTGGCCTAGTGGCTTCTGGACCTGCACCGCTCTCTGAGTTCAGATCTAGAGTCGCTCCTTGACCTGTGTGCCGCCTGGGGTTCCTGGCTCTGAGCTTCCTCTTCTCTTCTGTCTCAGGCAGGGAACGTGGTGACCGGAGAGATGGTAGAGGAGCTGATTCTCTCGGGGGCCGACATCATCAAAGTGGGCGTTGGACCAGGTAAGGTGTGGGGGCCCAGCGGAGCGTGTCTGGGGAGGAGCGAGATGTGCGCTGGGGGACTGGGGTGGGCAGGAAAGGCTGTGCGAGACTCTTCTGCTTTTCTGCCAGGAGCACCAGCAGTGACCCCTCCGACAGGACGTGTGTGTCAGAGCTGCTTCCTGGTGTCCCCCGGAGACCTTCATGTTTCCTTTTGTTAGAGGTTTATTTATTTGAAAAAAAATCTTATTTGAAAGGCAGAGTTACAGAGAGGGAGAGACAGAACTCTTTATTTTATTTTATTATTATTTTTTATTTCACAGGCAGAGTTAGTGAAAGAGAGAGACAGAGAGAAAGGTCTTCCCTCTGTTGGTTCACCCCCAAAATGGCCACTACGGCTGGTGCGCTGCGCCGATCCGAAGCCAGGAGCCAGGAGCTTCTTCCTGGTCTCCCATGCGGTACAGGGGCCAAAGCACCTGGGCCATCCTCTACTGCCTTCCCAGGCCACAGCAGAGAGCTGGACTGGAAGAGGAGCAACCAGGATTAGAAGCCGGCGCCCATATGGGATGCCGGCGCCATAGGCAGAGGATTAATCAAGTGAGCCACGACACCAGCCCTGAGACAGAGCTCTTAACACCTACTGGTTCACTCTCCAAATGGCTGCAATGGCTAGGGCTGGGCCATTTAGGGGCCAGGAGCTTCTTCTGGGTCTCCCACATGGGTGCAGGGGCCCAAACACCTGGGCCATCTGCTGCTGCTTCCCAAGTCATATTAGCAGAGAGCTGGATCTGAAGTGGAACAGCTGGGACTCGAACCAGCTCCTGTATTGGATGATGGTGTGACAGGCAGCAGCTTTTACCCACTCTCCCACGATGCCAGCCTTGGGGTTTTTTTATATTGCCACACACATGAGCCAATTAACATTGGATTTGGAGCAAGAGGAAAGATAACTGGTGTTTACAGAGTGTCTTCCATTCTTAGAAACTCGAAAGAAAGGATGCTGTCAATCCTACTTACAAGAGCTCCCCAGGCTAATAGTAGAATGGAAGATGCTGATGGTAGACCAGGGAGACTTTTTATTCCAAAGGCAGAGACGCTTGGCCGTCATTCATTTCATCAGAAGTTGGCACAGTAATCCTTTGGTGGTCCCTCACCGTGGTCAGGGACCCAGACCCACTGCAGCTGAGGCTCGGCTTCCCGGCAGGATCCAGCAGTTGAGTGGGAAAGGAGGAGAAGCCAGCTCTGAACCAGAGATTGTAAACGTGGCTCCTGCCTCACACACACTGTGGGAGACGGAGCCCTGTGGGGATGAAGCTGGCGGGCTCCCGGGCTGAGAGCAACGCACGTGGAGGGTGTTGTGAGAAAGACCTGGGGACTGCTGGGACGTGAGAGCGGGTGCCACCTGCAGCTGGGAGGAGGGGTCTGCTGCCCCCTTGGGGTTTCTCTGCTGAAGCCGGGTCTGGGGAGTGCGTGCTCACTTCTCTGTCTGATCTTGTCCCTTCAGACCCTTGGGGGAAGCTGTGAGGAGCAGGCAGAGGAGGCGGGGCTCTGGGTGTCACCCCAGGGCTGGCAGGGGGAGGTCACGGGAGGCCCCCAGCGTGCAGCATAAGAGATAGGAGATATCCTGGAGGGGCTGAACCGGTGGTGAAGCAGTGGAGACAGGTGTGTGGGTGACATCCTTGGGTTCATGGTGTTTTGTGTGACTATTTATAGTGCCTTTGTTACATCCTGGGCTTGGTTCTCAGTGGCGATAGACACAGTAGCTCTCCACGGAGCTGCCCTCCAGCACAGCAGATGGATCCTCGGTGGCCTTGTGCAAATAAGGACCGAGACTGCGTGCTCCTGAAATAAGTGCCGTGAAGAGCTGGCAGTTCTGGGGCAGTTGCCTTCAAGAGGAAGCCTGAAAGACCAGAAGGGCAGCGCTGGGAGGGTCGGTCCAGAGGGGAGGGTTTGGAGAGAGAGAACATCCTGTACCCAGAGGCCCTAAGGTGGGCAGAACGTTGCCATCGGAGGGGCTGGAAAGTCAGTGTTCAGCAGTAGAGAGAGGTGGGTAGCAGGTGGAGCTTGATCCAGCTGAGCTGGGTATAATATACAACCATAATATCTGACATGTGGCAAAAGTGCCAGAGCTTACAGTGAGATCTGGCCCAGACCTGGCTGGGAGGTTGCAGCCAGGACTGGGGCAGACCCCAGGGCACCCGAGGCCAAGTGAACAGCAGTGAGGAAGGAGCGAGGCTTTGAGTGGTGCCTGCAGGGGGAAGGGATAGGGGTAGGTGACCGAGGTTGGGGAGAGGTAGGTGGCACCCAGGACCTCAGTGCTGATGGTGATGAGGATTGGGGGAGGGGGATGTGCAGGCAGGTGCAGTGGTTCATGGTGACCCTCATCGGCTCCCTTGCCTTGGAAAGCTCACAACGTTCATGGGGCATGGCTGTGTGAAGGTGATGGGGCTCATTTTGTGTCACCTTCTGCTCACGCCTGACTGACCATCTGTCTCTGGGATCTCTCCTTCCTCTGCACAGGTTCCGTGTGCACCACCCGCACCAAGACTGGGGTGGGCTACCCCCAGCTGAGCGCAGTGATCGAGTGCGCGGACTCTGCACATGGCCTCAAGGGCCACATCATCTCCGTGAGTGTGCGGGCGGGACCGGGGGTGGGGCTCTGGCTGTGCTTCACCCCCAGAGGCACCCTGGGGGCCCAGTGGCAGGGCATGGAGCCTTGCAATGATGCCCCACGTGTAGCCCTGGGACCCCAGTGGAAAAGGAGCTCAGGCTGTCCCTACACAGCACACCTGCCCTGAGACTTAATTCAGCCACTCTCTTAAGTGCGACGTTCAGCCCAGCGTCAGTGTCTAGTGAGAACTCGAGATCTGAAGCTGTCATTCCGATGGGGACCACAGGCGCTTGGTGGCACTGCCAAGGCCCCGAGCCAGGCGTCCTCACGGGTGCCCAGAGAGCAGGTTCTCTGGGTTGCTGGTTAGGCACAGAGGCCCGTGATGCCAGTGCTGCAGGGCGGTAACCTTTCTGATCCCACCTGTATATGTCCATGTTCTACATGTTACAGTAATGGCGAGGGAGTGTCTAGATGGGCTTAGGAGTGCAGGGGGGTTCACAGACATGTATGGGATTCGTCACCCTTGACGTCAGCTCATTCTGTCCAACCCGCCAGGCCCCCTTGTCTGATGGAGGTGTCTCAGACAGGTTCCTCCTGCATGCCCCACAGGTCTTGGCATCCTGCCACTTCGTCCAGGTTCCCTCCAGTTGTCTCGCTTTACACTTGCGTTGCTGAGTTAGCACCTCGTGCCCTTGAGTTCCAGCAGGTGCTCACAGCCGAGAGGCTGGCTCTGAGTCGTGTGTCTGTCTATGGCGGCCCGCCTGGGCCTCAGAGAGGGGCACCACTGGGGATGCCTCCCACCTAGGCAGACGGTGAAGGATGACCTGTTAAATTTTTCTTGTCACACCATTATTTAGAAAGACCTGAACACATTCATTCCAATGATCTAATCATTTTGTTGTGAGGCTTTGAAAAAGTCACCAACAAGCTGTCCTTAACCTAGGTAAAGCTAGAGATGCACATGAACAGGAAGAAGACAATAGGTAGCAGTAGAAATGCTAGCATCGTAAGGTAACCATTGGTTCTCGTCTTGTTTTTGTATGCAAAGCAGCAGAGAGAGAAGGATGCACAAACTCCTGTGCAGTGGCCGGCGGAAGCCAGGGCCAGGGATTCAGTCCAGGTCTCAGGCTGCTGGCAGGCACGCAGTGAGCCATCACCATTGCTTCCCAGGCTGTGCATGTGCAGGAAGCTGGGGACAGGGACTCGAACCCAGACGCTCTCATGGGAAGTGTGGGGCTCTTAGCTGCTAGGCTAAGCGCCTGCTCCCTGTCCTTCCATTTTCATAGCTGTGTGACTTCAGGAAAGTCGCTCAGTGTTTCTGAGTCTCGTTTTCCCCCTCACCTACAAAAATGCCAGCTTCAGGTTCTTGCAGTGTTTGGAAAAAGGACTTCAGTTCCTTAACGGTTCCCAGCATAGGCTGTGTACTTGGACCCTTCCCCTGCGCCATGCCTGCAGTCCTCCCTCTCTCAGGTCTGAGCGACTGGTTTCATCAGAACAGGCGCACTGACAATTCACAGATCAGACTTTCTCTCGTGTCTTGGATGCCTTCTGTACTTCAATATAACATCAGCTGTCTTGAGAAAGCAACTAAACCGCGTAGATGTACTGCTTTGAAAACTTGCACAGGATAGAATGCTAGCCATTTTTTTTAAATAAAAGATTTATTTAATGGAAAGGCAGAGTGACAGAATTTCCATCCGCTGGTTCACTCCTGTACTGGCTGCAATGGCTGGGGCTGGCCCAGTCTGAAGCCAGGAACTCCATCCAGGTCTCTCACGTGGTTGGTAGGAACTCAAGTACTTGTGCCGTCCTCCACTGTTTCCCAGGTGCATTAGATGGGACTTGGGCTAGATGCAGAGTAGCCAGGACTTGAACCTGTGCCCTGATGAAAGACGCAGGTGTTGCAAGTGGCGGCTTAGCCTCCTGCTCCACAATGCCTCCTCCGTAGCCAATCATTGTTTTTGCAACCTCCTAGCGGCTGTGACAAGTTCTGTGTCAAGGTCAAAGTGTGTGTCTTGGATTGCAGGGGCATTGCTGGTCTTGCTCTGCTTCCTGAGAACACAAAGGCTCACCTTGACTGACTTCTGGAAGTTGCCTGTAAATGCTAGTCAGGGGGCAGGCTGCTGAGGGTGAAGGCACCTCACAGAGTAGGGCTGCGCTGGGTCGGGTGTGCAGCCTGGCTTGTTTGCGTTGTGCACTGCATAAATGCACCCACGGGCAATGTATGAGCAGATTATGCCGGACGCACGAATTCCTCTCCCCAGTATGTCACGCAGTGGACACTTGGTTCATCCTGGGAAGAGAAGGGCTGCTTGTACTGGAGTCTCATTGGCACAGGCTTCTGAATGTGCCTCACTCCTGGGATTCACAGAAGCACAGTCATGCACTGCTCACGAGTGAATGAGCCAGGTGTTTTGTTTTTCTCAAAGATTGATTTGAAAGACAGACAAATCTTCCCTTTGCCGGTTCGCTCCCTCAATGGCTCCCCCAACCGTCTGCCTGGTTAGCGCTTCCACGCTCTCCCCTTCCAAGGTACAACCTCACTCGTCCTGCCGATTTCCTTTTTTTTTTTTTGACAGGCAGAGTGGACAGTGAAAGAGAGAGAGACAGAGAGAAAGGTCTTCCTTTGCCGTTGGTTCACCCTCCAATGGCCGCCACGGCCGGCGTGCTGCGGCCGGCGCACCGCGCTGATCCAATGGCAGGAGCCAGGTACTTATCCTGGTCTCCCATGGGGTGCAGGGCCCAAGTACTTGGGCCATCCTCCACTGCATTCTCTGGCCACAGCAGAGAGCTGGCCTGGAAGAGGGGCAACCGGGACAGAATCCGGCGCCCCGACCGGGACTAGAACCCAGTGTGCCGGCGCCGCAAGGCGGAGGATTAGCCTAGTGAGCCGCGGCACCGGCCCCTGCCAATTTCTAAAGCATTTTATCTCTTAACAAAACTAGCTCCACATAGCCGGGTTTCAAATGTACAACCTCCAATAGATTAAACTCATGCTCTCATCAAAATAGGTCCCCAGCCATCTGACTTCAAAACAAAACACTTCGCCAGGGCCAGCAGTGTGGTTCAGATGTGGCCTGCGACGCTGGCATCCCATGTGAGTGCCAGGTCTAGCCAGCTCCACGCTAATGCACAGGATGGAATGGGTGCTTGGGCCCCCAGCCACCCATGTGGGAGACCCACATGGAATTCTATTCTCCCGGCTTTGGCCCTGGCTGTTGCAGACATCTGGGGAGTGAACCGGCAGATGGGAGCTCCATCTCTCTTTCTGTCTCTATCATAAAGAAATGCTTGCTTTTAGCAATCTGAGACATGGAGCTCCGTGGTCTCCATTCAGGACGCTCTCTGCAAAGTGGCTGGGCCAAGTTTCACCGACCCCTCCCCTCTGCAGAAAGCATGCACCTTCCTGCCAGTGGGAGCACAGGGGAGGGAACCAGCGTTTTCTCAGTTCCTTTCCAAAGCACCCTGACCCCTTGTGTCACAGCGGAGCCTCTGCTAACGACAGGCGCTTCCCTCTGAGCCGTGGAGTTTCTGCCAGACCCTCCCTGCTCTCCGTTAGGCCAGCGCCACGCGTGCTGAATGGATGCTGAGTTGTCAGGTGAAGAGGAGGGAGACCCACAGGGCGGCTGGAAAGATGAAGCACCTCGCTCAGCGTCCTGCCCTTGGCTCTTAGAATAAGTCAGCCTGTGTACTCCGGCAACCCCGCCTCGCGCCGGGCGGGGAGGAAGGCGACTTCCGAATGGCAGTGCGCTCCCTGGTTCTGGCGGGGGTGCCTGGGTCGGGCGGGGTTTGCGGAGTGACCCACAGGGGAGCCCGGTTAGGGCTGAGCCCTGTTCCGCTCCTGCCGACACCCTCTCCTGCTCTTTTTCCCTCTTAAGGATGGAGGCTGCACGTGTCCAGGAGATGTCGCCAAAGCCTTTGGTAAGGTCGGGTCCCCGCGCGCGTGCACGCGGGTAGGGCCGGGGAGGGAGGCAGGCGCGCACCGCGGCTCAGCGTAGGCGAACTGCGGACCCCTCCTGGGTTTCCTCCGTCCGGTCCTCCGGTTTCCGCCCCAATCGACCCAAGTCCTGGCCTCGGCTTGGTTCTGGTCCCTGGCAGAGCAGGCCCGGAGGTGGGGCTAGGGGCGACATCTGCCCACCAGGAGTTGGGGAAGCCTTGGGGAGGCAAGGCTCAGGGACCTGTGGGCGCCGCAGGAAGCCTCCTTGGTCAACCTGGAGAAGCCCTGCGCGCAGAGGAGAGGCCGGCAGCAGTTCCTCCGCCTCCCGCGAGGGGGCAGCCGTACGCTCTGCACCGCCAAGGGGGACCTGGGTTTTCCGAACTTCACTCCCTGTTGGGGTTGCCTGCCCTTGAGATGGCCACGTGGCCCTGCAGGCTGCGCTGGAAAGCCGGAGGTGTGTCACGCAGGAGGCTGCAGCGGAACTGTGGCCTTGCCCTCCTTGTCTGATGGTTGGGCCACATTTGCTGGGGGCTTTTTGTTGCAGGGGTGGGGGGAGTCCTTTTTCAGTGGAGGAAAAACTTAACAGCTGAAGAAGAGCCCGGGGCAGCAGGAGGGCTTCAGGGTGGCCCGGATAGGGTCACAGGGATGGGACTTGATCCCACTTTGCCCGTGGATCTCAGCTGTGCAGGACTGAGGCTGCAAAACTCTAGGGCATTTGGGACCTCTGCTGACCACTGAGCTCACCTGCCCTGTGCCACAGGAGGTTCATCCACCAAGCAGGATCTACATAGTGCACATGTGTGTTGCATCTCGGGCTTCCTTCTACAGACTCACGTGTGTGCTGTGCGTAGCGTGGGATCCCGGCACACTGGGAAGTGATGGGTGGGCGAGTGCCGTAACAGCAGCCTCTGGACTCGCTTGGGCTCTGTGCAGTTTCCCTGGGGGATGGGGTCTCAGCCTTCTCCACGCCCCCTTGTAGTCAGTGCAGTGATGCCGGAGTAGGGATGGAGCTCAGAGCACAGGGCTGTGCCCGGCATGCGCTGGTGAGGAGAGGGTACAGGCCTCCTTCCCCTGGGGCTGTGGCCATCAGGAGGGCCCTGGACCCCTTTCCATCATGGCAGGAGCCCTGGAGGGAGGGCTGTTGACGTCCCCTGGGGCCGCTGTCCCCTTGCTCTGACCCAACCGCAGCTGTCAGTAGGACTGGGGCCGGGGGGAGTTGTAGCGGTTTGCTGCTGAATGTCTTAGGCTGTTTTCTAACAAGATCCCCGAGATGGGGTAATGGACAAAGCATGGAGTTTATTGGGCTCAGGGTCCTGGAGATGGGTAAGTCCAGAGGCCTGGGGCTGGCTCCTGTTCGGGGTCTGGTGGGGGCCTCAGGCTGTGGCTTCCCGGGGTGAGACAGGGCTGGCCACTATAAAGCCACTGATACCATCTTGAGGGCCCTATCTTGTCCTATTCCTTCCAAAGCCATTCCTGTCAGAATTTGGCAATTCAGGTTCCTACCCATAATCTCTTGGGGGACACGTTCAAAGCAACGCACTCTATTCAGTGAGAGTCTTTGCAGTGACCATTTCTCCCACGTGTTCCTTCTGCTTCCTTGGTAGCGGGTTATTTGGCATCTGTCTCGTGTGCTGTGCACAGAGCCAGCCCCGGTCCCGTCCCAACACAGCCTCCAAAGGCAGCTTCGTAATCCTGGAGCCTCTGGGGCTGTCCTGGAAATTCCGCGTGTGCGCTGCCCGGAAGGACGTACGATCGGCTCATAGCAGAGGGGCAGCAGAGGTGCAGGCAGAGTTCAGCTGACTTCAGGGACACAGGGCTGCCTCTCCTCTGTGCCGAATCTCGGCAGGGGGAGGTGCAGGCTGCTCTGAACTTCTGCAGTGCTTGGTGTGCACAGTGTGGGTGGGGATTTCATAGAGGGCTTACCGTACTGAGTGCTGCTACTAGGTCCTGCTGTCAGAACTAAGAACATGGGCGGGGGGGGGGGGGCGTGGTTGGTGGGGATGTTAGAGAGGAGTCACTGCCCTGAGTGTCAAGATTGAAAGCTCACTGTCAGATGTGCCCCCAACTCTTGGCATTCCTAATTCTAATGCCATTAACTCTGAAACGCAGTCACGGTTAGTTGTTAACATCCGCTAAACCTCGCCCAGGATTTTCGCCACCAACCTTGCTCTCTTTGTCTCTGCGTCCGCCTCACCATCTGCAGGAGAGAGGTTGAGTCCCTCTCTCTTCGCCGAGGGCTGGCACGGGGGAGGAGAGACGGGGCGGCCCTCAGAGCTGCCATTTCACCGAGCCATGTTCTCTTGGTGTGCAGGAGCCGGGGCCGACTTTGTCATGCTGGGAGGGATGTTTTCAGGCCACACCGAGTGCGCCGGAGAAGTGATCGAGAGGAACGGGCAGAAGCTCAAACTCTTCTACGGGATGAGCTCGGAAACAGCCATGAAGAAGCACGCGGGCGGCGTGGCCGAGTACAGGTGAGGGCCGGCCTCTCAGCTCTGCTTCCTGCCTGCGGAGACGGAAGTGCAGCGCGGGGAGGCAGGTCTGGGGCATTCGTGCACCGAAGGGCCGGTGTGCCTGGCATCCTTCTGAAGCTGCAACTGTTAACCCGGCTGTCACTGGCCGTGTCTGGGGGCCTTGTGAGTGCGTGCAGAGCAGAAAGGTCTGGGCCAGCTTGCAGGAGTGACCGGGGGTACAAGAGCACTGTGTGAAAAATGCATATTCTGAGAAAAGTAGGCAGATTTCAGGTGTTTTTTTTTTTTTTTTTCGTAAAAGTAAATGTATCTTTTAATTCCCACCCACACACTGTGAGTCCCCTTGCCTGTGCTGGCAGGTACCAGTTTTGGAAGGCACACCCCACCCTTACCAGGCTGGGCGGGAATCTTGCTTCCTCTTTGCTGTTTCCGGCCTGAGCTGAGTTCAGGCTGCAAGAGGCGGGTTGCAGAGTGGGTCTCCTGTTGCACATGATGCCCTGGGGGCTGCGGTCCAGGCCTTTCTGGTAGAGGGCCTCACTTCTGTGCGCCCACAGGACTCTCGCCTACCTCCTGCCTCTAGCAGTTGACGCGCAAGTGTCTTCAAATGTTGGGGTTGCCCACTGCCCACGTGATGCCCACGGCTGCTAATAATGCCTTACTTAAAAATCCATGGTCCCCAAAGGTCCCCAGGATTTCCCCATTTCACTGTGATAGGAGGCTAGAGGTCCAGAGCCAGTTTTATAGGTGGGTAGGGAAGAGGATGGGGTGTCCTACCCATAATTCCTTAGTAGGGTTCTGGTGGACCGACTTCTGTTCTCATTCTCGCCAGGCCTTTTCTGTGTTGGGGGGAAGCTCCATAAACATGTTATAGTCTGGGGAAGGCAGGGTGGGAGAGGTGGGCACCGCACACCAATGTAAAACAGGAGGCGGGCCCATGTCATGGTGCAGTGAGCTAGAGTATTGCCTGCTATGCCTGCATCCCACATAGAGCACTGGTTCTGGTCCTGGCTGCTCCAGTTCTGATTCAGCTCCCTGCTGATGAGCCTGGGAAGGCAATGGAAGATGGTCCAAGTGCTTGGGTCCCTGCACCCATATAGGAGACCCGGATGGAACTCTAGGCTCCTGTTTTCAGCCTGGACTAGCAGCCATCTGAACCAATGGTTGGAAGATTTTTAAGATTTATTTACTTATTTGGAAGATAGAATTATATAGAGAGGGAGAGACAGAGAGAAAGAGATTTTCCATCTGCTGGTTCACTCCCTAAATGGCCCCAGTGGCCAGGGCTTGGTCAGGCCAAAGCCAGGAGCCTGGAACTTTGTCTGGGTCTCTCACATGGTTGCAGGGGCCCAAGGACTTGTGCCGCCATCCTCTGCCTTCCCAGGCACATTAGCAGGGAGCTGGAGCAGAAGTGGAGCAGCTGAAACTTGAACTGGTGCCCACGTGGGGTGCTGGCATTGTAGGCAGTGGCTCAACCCACTCTGCCACAAAGCTGGTCCCCCTCTGCCTTTCAAATAAATACATTTTTAAAAATTTTTTGGGAAAAAAAGAAAGGTGCATTCCTGCCCGCCCCAGAAGGTGGCCCTCCCTGTGGTAACTGGAGGAGTCTGCCCAGTTAGGTAGCAGAAACAGTGACCAGGTTTGTGTAAACTGGACCCGAGAAGCTCGCTCCTGAGGCCTGTGTGGGGTGGGAGTGGGGCTTAGTCGGCTAAGACAGCTCAGCCTTGCCCAGAGCACAGCCGGGGCAGCGTGGGTGGGCTCTGGGTAGACCTCTGATAGGCCAGGCCAGGGTGTCACATAGACAGAACAACAGAAGATCCCAGAGCATCAAGACTTGGTTCTGAAAGTCGATTCAAATCTTAGACAAGGAAAGAAAGCACCAAAGGAGTTAGAACCTTGAGTCAAAGGCAGACTGAGCCTGGTAAGCTCTGTGCTCCGCCTGCCTTTCTCTCCCTGGCTGTGGGCACGTGTGTCCACCTTTCCCCTGTCTCTGGCAGGTGGCAGCTCCCGGACCCTGACCTTGTCATGAGAATGGTTCCCTACTTTGACATTATGGTTAATGACGGCCTTGTTATTTATGCTTTGCCAGTTGCTTTCTAATCATCAACCATTTCATTCTCATGCTGTCCTTGGGAGGCAGATCAAAGTCCTTTATTTTATGGGTGAGCAGATTTTCAGCATCAACAATAAATGACTAGAAAAAGGTGACATCACCAGTCAGCAAAGAAGCAACGATGAGAACTAACCCCAGGAAGGCCATGGAAATGTCTTCGGAACACACCAGGGCAGTCCTTGGAGGCACATGTACATGTGTGTCTTGTTCTGGCCACCGGGTGTGGAGACCTGAACCACACTGGGGGTGGCCAGTGACTTGGGCATCATGTGCTTGGTGCTCTAAACCAGCCCCCACCTGGCTGATAGCTTTAAGTAGCTCGATTTCACGCAGGGGGTTCTTGCGTGCTCAGCAAACATGAGTTAGCATCCTTGTGAAATTCTAGGTGATAAGTTTCTGACCAAGAGATGTTGTTGTTCCAGTTGGGGAAAAACGGCCACAGGAAGTCCCAGAACTTGGACTTGTTGGAATTTGTGTAGCCCTTAGATGCAGGCTGGGCTGCATTTTCACATTCCTCCTGTGATGCCCCTAGGGACCCAGGCCTGGATGGCAGTGCCACTTTGTAGATGGGTTGTGGAATCGGGCAGTGCTCCACTGGGGCTTGTGAGGAGAGGGACAGGGCTCAGCAGGGACGGTTAGCCACCGCCTAGAGGCCACATGCCAGACCTCCTCAGCGCTCCTCTCTCCTGGTGTAAAGATGCTAGCCACGGCCTTAAGGGAATTTTTGGTTCTACTCTGGTCCTACGTCCTGCAAAATAGGCACCCATGGGAACACAGGGAGGTGAGCAGATGGGGAGAAGGGGTCGTTCCCAATCAAGGACACCCGGAGAGACCAGCAGGCGACTTGCTGCTGGAGGTTTGGTTTCCTCGTAAGCTAGCAGGGCCCGAGCTGTCCATTTAATCTTCTCTGGGGGTGTCCTCTGAGGACACTCAGTTTCTGCTGCAGAGCCGGTAGCCTGGAGGGTGATGCTCACAGCCCTGTCTGTTGGTGGTGCAGGAGACGGCTCCAAGAGCCAACCTGCCCAGTGTCTTCAGGCCCCATGGGCATTTGGGCTCTTGGTCCATTGTAGGCTGGTGTGCGCGTGGAGGTTTCACAGGAAGGGGGAGCCGGGGGAGGCTGCCGTGCAAGGAGGTGTGGGTCTCTGCAGCCCCTGGGCAGCCTGCAGGGAGGCTGTGTCCTTGGAGGTGGGGGGTGCTTGCATCTGGGGAGCTGGCCCAATGCACTTGGCTCTTAGGGCAGGGGGCACTGGGGCCAGAGGGCGGCTCCTCCAGTGCCTTGGGGGCTGCCAGCAGCCGGATGGCTGGGAGGAAGCAGCTCCATAAAACACTCCCTTTCCTTGCAGGGCCTCTGAGGGCAAGACTGTGGAAGTGCCTTACAAGGGAGACGTGGAGAACACAATTCTGGACATTCTCGGGGGGCTGAGGTCTACCTGCACCTACGTGGGGGCTGCCAAACTCAAGGAGCTCAGCCGGAGGGCGACGTTCATCCGGGTGACCCAGCAGCACAACACTGTGTTCAGCTAACCCCGAGAGGGAGGGGCATCAGCTCCGGCAGAGGCTTCCGCCTGCACCTGCTTCTCCTGCCGCTCCCGAGTGGATGGCGGGGCGCCGTGTCCTTTCTCCTCCCTCCTGCTGCTGCCGGCAGCTTTGGGGCTTCTCCTGTGCCACCTTGGGGCCCATGGTAGGGCACTGATGGGGCCAGCAGTTGCAGCCCAGCTGCCCAGAACTCATAACTTCATTGTCTGAACCAACACCTGCACCCTTTCCTTTTCTTTTCTTTTTTAAAGAGAAAATGGTTTCACTTTAATATACGCTCTTATCTTAAGACCTGATTGCGTGCTGGAGTCTGCATTTGCAGGAGCCAAGTTGTAGGGGGCCCTGGGGGTTGTCTGCCTCCTTCCTGGACAGGTGAGGGGCTCAGCCCCACCTTGGCTCACAGCAGATAAGCACTGGGGCAGGGAGCCAGCTGGAGTCAGAGCCACTGCCACCCCCCTCCCGGCTCTTGGCTACCAGGAAAGGTTGAGTGGACAGGTGAACATGAGGAATCGTCCCCCCAGATCCAGATCCTGCTTGCGAGGTTGTAGCTGTGTTATTTTCACCAGAACCTTTGTCACGTGCCTCCCAGGAGTTGTCATCTATGACTACACTGGGTGCCACGTCCCTGTCGTTTTGCTCGAGTCCATCCTTTCCATCCTCTCTCTCCAGTCCCCATTTGTGAGGCTGGCTGTTGTTAAAGGGGCTGTGAACGCTTCCGTGGTTCCATGGGCGCTCTCACTGAGAGGCTGGTCACCGAGGAAGCAGGTGGTGTCCCGATGGAAGACAGCAGAAGCTTTCAGCAGTGGCGGCGTCGGAGGCACGGGCTTAGGACGTGAGCCCGTTCCCTTGTCACGGTGTGGATGCTCCCGTGGGAGGGCCGCACAGGACTGCTGGGTGGTGGTTAGTTAACTGTGGTCCACGCCCACTGCCCTTGAGAAGGGACGTGTGCCTGGCCTTGGCAGCTGCTACAAAGAGCCCTCCTGTGCCTGCAGAGGGGAGCGGCTGCCCTCTGGGGACCCAGGTGAGGGTCAAGGGGAGATTTAACGTGGAGTGGGCTGTAGGGTTTTCCTGGCACTCCCCTCCCCGCCCCAGCCTTCTCTCTCTCTGCTGGTTGGTGCAGGCTGTGAGCCTGTCCTGCTGGTGCCGTGGATGGCGTGTTCCACACGAGTCCTGGAGTTGGTTAGGTTTATCAGAGCTGCTGTATTGCAAAATCAGGAGGAGAGAGGGAAGGAATGGAAATCTTTGAGAACCCATAGTTGGGGAACTCGGGACCGTGTCCGCCACGCTCCTGCTACCGTGGCCAGGGTCACCAGCATCCCCTTTCTCAGCTCGGGCTCCCGTGCTGTGCTGAGGGTGTGTGGGGGGCACCTTGGGGCCCTGCTGCCTGCAGCAAGGCATGCTGCTGTATCCCGCCCATGTGGACATTTTGCCGACTGTGACCTTGCTCTGTTTCACAAAGCGAAGGCAGGTCCCTTGCAATTCAGTTGTCAGGGAAAGCGAAGCCAGAAACGCATGAGACTGCATCATGCTCCCTTCCCAGCGGGTGCCCTCTGCCTCCAGGAAGAAGGAATGGGCAGAGCCCCTGCCACACCAGCTACCATCCAAGGCCCCAGGATTTGGTGTGCAGCTCTGCCGTCGGGCTGACCAGCCCCTGGGCTTCGGGTGCCTGAGTATGTGTGTATCTGTGTTGGGGGGCACTTGTGAATGTGGCCCCATTCACCTGGGGCTGCCCCGCCTGTGGGCCTTGGTCATGCTCTTGGTGGTTGCAAAACCTACTCGGCTGTAGCACATGAAGCTGCAGCTTTTCCCCAAGCAGTTGTAGAGAGAGATGGAGAGTCTTGAGTTTTCTTCCATCCACTGGCTCACTCTCCAGTATGGCTGCAATGGTCAGCGCTAGGCCAGGCTGAAGCCTAGGAGCCTGGAACTCCACCCGTATCTCCCATGTGAGTGGCAGGGGCCCAAGCACTCGGGCCATCTTCTGCTTTTCCCAGGTCCATTAGCAGGGAGCTGGGTAGGAAGCTAAGCAGCTGGGACTCAAAGCCACACTCCGATATTAGATAGTGGTGTTGCAGGCAGTGGCTTAACCCGCTGCCCCACAGTGCCAGCCTCAGCAGTGTAGCCAGTCACAGCCACCGGACCCCAAACTTACTGGATTGGGGAACTCAGAGTTGAGATGCCACTGCCAGGCTTGCCCACCGTGTGCTGGCCTGTTTGCCTGGACGGCTGTGGAGAGAACTTGGGCTGGCCCTTCTGGTCTGGTCTGTGAGGCTCACCCACCCACCACTGGTTTAAGGCCCATTCTTCACACAGACAGTGTCAGGACCTCAGCCCTGAGATCCCGGCAAGAGTTGTGCTTGGCTGTTCCCCGAGCCCCTAACCCAGAAGAGTGTGGACGGAAAGTGTTCCCGTTCCTCCTTGGGCTAAGTAAAAACTCAGACCTTGAACCCCAAAGGTTTTCACCTCTGCATAACCTTCAGGCTGGAAGGGCTCGATGGCCACATGTGGGAGTAGGGGGGAGCCCACAGGAGCCTCAGGTCCTTGGCATCTGCTATGCCATGTCTTTTTCAAGACAGCCCAGTGCAAACCCGTGGGGCACACATGACGCCAGCGAGGAAGCTACTGATGGAATTTCTCCCCAGCAGGAACCACAGGAAAAACAAATGATCCTGCCACTTCAGACCACCATCCAGTTTCCAGCCAAATGGTAGAGAATGCGCCGATGGTGCCGCAGCTGCCAGTTGTGGGCTGCAGGCAGAACCCTGCAGTGGTTCAAACAGGAGGTGTGATGTGAGCCAGATGAGCCATGGTGTCAGATAAGGGCATGTGCCTTTAAGAGGCTCTTCACTGTTTTCTCAGCCTCTCTGAGGACCCAACAGAAGACAAAGACACCTTTGCAATTGGCACTGTTATTTTATTAGTACGAGTATACTGAAACAATAAACTTGTACTGGTATACAGACAATTTATTTAAAACAATTTTGTTCAAATTTTGAATCAAACATTGTTTTATTATAATAATGAAATAATTTCTACCTAGAAAACCTGCAAGCACCATCAAAGAAAGGGACCATAAAATTCAATAAACAGACTTGAGTGTATCCTACAAATAGACACACCACAATTAGAAAATAGAATATGAATTCTTCCATTTTTTTAATATTTGTTTTAAAAAAGCTAGTGCAAGTACAATATTTTACACTGGAATTACAGAGTATGCACGCATATGGAAAAAAGTTCTCCTGTCACAATAAAAGCTCTTAGCTATGTATGCACTTAAAATTTTCTTTTCAATAAGGTGCAAAACATCATTCCTTCCCTCCATCTCCAGTCTGGTAGTGCCCTCAACCCAAGTGCTGGGATCTGATTTCCCTTGGCCTGTGAGAGGCATATGAGTGGAGGCTGGGCAGGTGCCCACCCTAAACTAGGACACCCAGTGGGACCAATCTCGGACATGGCTCTGAGGCCGGGACCTTGCTGTTGAGAGAGGAGGAGGGTGCTGTCTGCTCGGAAGGCCACCACCAATACTGACAAGGACTCTACTGGAACCTCCTTCAGTGGACTCGGGTTTGCAGTGGAGCAGTGCAGGCTGGGGAGGACGAGTCCCAGCCAAGAGGGCAGCACTCGGACAACCGGATGCACAGGTGTCGAGTTCACCGACAAAAGGATTTGCCCCAATCCTGCGCCAGATTGTAAAGAACAGGTGGAAGTCTGTGCATGGCGCTTGTGGGTGGTGCTCTTGGTAGCCCACAGCCCTAAGCTAGTGCCACCTCGGCCTTAGAAATTCTGGAGTACCGTGGGTTATCTTGGTAAGGATCACTGTAAACAGCGCTTGCCACGGAGGCCTTCCGAGTAGCCACAGAAAAGGAGACAAGCTCATGGGCCATCCAGACAGCAAACGGACAAATGAACTGAAGGGGGAGGGGTAGGGAGGGGTGGGGGTGGGTGAAGTCTCCAATGAATCTGCAGTGGAAGACTGGAGTCCTTTCAGACAAGGGAAGTCCTTGGGGATTCTTAAGAGACTGTTACTGCAGAGGGTCTACCGATTGGCCAAATGCATTTCTTTTTAATACAAGTTGAACCGTTTGTATGCAAGTCATGGGGACGTGAAAAACCGAAGCCGCTGTTTCCTGCTGCCCTGGTACAGGTGGATGTTAGCAACCAGAGCAGCTGCACCCAGCCAAGAAGGGAGGGGAGATTCTGAATTGAAGAGCTGCGGGGGGGGGGGGGGGGGTAGTTTGCTAACTCACCCACAGCTGTCCTCCAGCCTGGTTTTTGGACAATAAAATGACTTCTGAGAAGTTCCATATTGATCTTGGCCTCTTTTTAAAATAAAAAAAATGAGTTGTTTCAATTGATTTCACCACTTAATAAAGGTGTTTCCATTTAACCACTTAAATGAGGTGGGGGGGGGGGTGGTTGGGGCTTCGAAGACGGCTAACCAATTGTGGGTTTTCTGTCCCCATAATGAATCCTGTTTTCTTGGTAGCTAGGATCACTTGTTACAAACACTTCCTGTTCAGGGTTATATTCTTTGGGTTTAGAGGAACAAGAAGTGCTGAGAAGGTCAGACATCACCTCTGGAGGACAAGGAATTGCAATGGCTTAAGAGTGGCGACTAACAAGGGAGCTCAGGGAAGCACTGAGCGCAGGAACGAGCAGTCTTCTGAGTAGCAGAGTCCAGTCCCCTCCCTCAGGCGGGGCGCTGTGAACAGCGCAACAGGAAGCACAGGTCTAGTTTAAGAGCCTTTTACGTAAGAATTCTTCCAGGCCAGAACCATACACAGCTGATCACTTAGACATCATGACACATTTCTATGTACAAAAAAAAAAAACAAAAAAACAAAAAAAACCACATGGAACTTTCAACCCTTCTCTGCTGTTTTTTTTTTTTTTTACAAACAAACTATGAAACTCGTTTCAACAGATCCGTATCTTTCAAACACTGAATGAAGCGTCTCGACATTCATTTTTCTTTTGTGCAATTTTTTTTAAACATTACCTGTACTCAAAGTGAGTGCTTCAAAATTCGTTTTCTTCAGCTTCTCAAATTAGGTGTACATTAGAAAAAAAAAAAAAACCTTCCCACAAGGTATAGTACTACAAGAACAGATCCTATCGGTAAGGTAACAAATCTGAAGCGAGGTCATCTATGTCAAAGAAATCTCAGCTCCGAAGTAGAGGTGTGCAACTCGTTTGGACCTTCCCTACCAACAGAAATAGAACACTGTGGAAATGGGTGGAAACCAGCCCAACACAATAGCCTATGCCTGTGCTTCATTAAAAAAAAGTATATGCTCTGTGTATTTATTACTTGATGTGTTCTTAAGTTCTCTATTTCAGAAATCCTGGGTTAAAAAGACAAAGGTGGAAGCAAAGGCCCCCACACCATTTTAAAAACAAACCGAGTTTGTAATGCTCTTCCCTTTCGGGTCACCGCCCAACACACAGGGCCCCTGGCCCCGGTTTTTACCTGGAATCGTGGAGGGTGACGAGGTTGGAGGAGCAGGGCGGGGGCGGGGGGGGGGTGGCCTTCGGGAGGGAAGGGACCAGGCGGCTGGGTTCCTTGCAGGTTCATGACCCAGTAGCCATGACAACCAGCCTGCCACACAAAGCTCGGCCCTCTGCCCCCCTGGGGCCCTCACCCATGTCTGAAATAGCATGGTGTTAGTGTCTTCAAAAGCATCTAAGATGTTTCTCTATGGAAGAAATAGGTTTCCTTAGTAGTCACAGGTGTTAAAGGATATTGATTGTTTCCTTAAGAAACAAAAACAAAAACCCAAAGCCACGACGAAGACAACAACCAAAAATATAAATTTTGGCAACGTATTTCAGGAAAGATCAAAACTATGTGCAAAGAGTGGATTTTAGGATTACTAGGAGCTACTGTTCGTCCCGAACATGCAGCATTATATTGCGATCTATGCGTATCTAAGGAGTCATCCACAAGATGCAGGAAATCCAAACAGTCCTTGAAATTGTACAACCCTACTCCAGAGCAGTCAAAGTGCTGCTTCCGGACACCCCCGTGTACCCCACACACCAGCCCCGTCCCTGAGTAAGAGGTGTGAAGTTTCCGCAGAGTGTTCCCTGTACGGGGGGAGAAAAGAGGAGGGGGGCCCATCACACTCACCTCACACACAACACACAGGCTCACAACTCCTTGTGACAAGTGGGGCAATGCCACCGACAAACTCAGGTTACCCCAAGCCAAAGTGGGCGCGGCGCAGAGAAACCCAGAACCGACGCGCGCACACGAGGATCCTGGAAGTCCAGATGACAGGGCAGTCTGGACTCCACGTTCACAGATTTGAGGTAAGTGGCGTCCCTCGCCACACCCATCCCACCCCCTGCCCCAAGGTGGCCCAGGCAAACTCAAAGATTCTTAAACACATTCTAAGGAACAGTCATTTTTATATATTTAGAAATCCCTATACAGAGAGGTTCTTGTTTGTTGGTTTCTTATGAATAGTATTATTAGTTTTTTTTTTTTCTTTTCGCCCTGACTAATTTCTTGGTGATTGTGTTCAGTTGTAAACACAGAAGGCCTGCTGTTAGTAGTTTAAAAATGGAAAACGGGAAAGAAAGCGAGCATGCGAGCCGGCTCTGAGGCACGCCTACCAAGTGGACATGGTGCACGGCATGCGGCTGATCCTTGGCAGTGGAGGGGCACTACAGAATTTCAACCCCTGTCATCCACAGGTTTGCTACACAGAGCGCTGGCCACAGCCAGGGGCACGCCAGCGTCGGGGGACGAGAGGGGGCTTCTCTGCCCTCTGTGCATTCTTCCTCTTTCAAGAGAAAGCTGCTACAGGGACAGAGACCATGGTTGGCAGGTGGTCCCCTCCACGGTCACGGGCCAGCACACTCAGCACGCATGCACACAACAGGTCACACTTGTTGCCCCACGCTCAGAGGACACAGGCCTCGAGACCATGGAAAATGGGTCGCCTCCAGCCTACGTTGCTCCAGAGTGCGCCCCAGAAATCCACCTGCCTCCTTCCTGTCCATGCTCCATCATCACTATTCCGTGTGGTTCTCCCGGGGTCTCCTCAGCTGGCCCCATCCTGCAGTGGGGTGACAGACACTGGGGGCTCCTGCAGGCTCCTGCCCCAACACTCAGCACTCGCAGTGGGAAAGGCGGGAGGAGGCTGCCCTTCCCTGGCCAGAACCGGGGGGGAGGGGGAGGGCGGGGGGGGGGAAGAGATTGGAAAGATCACGTGAACAAGGAATAAGCCTAAAAGGAATGAGCTTTCACTATAGCACACTGGTCAGATTCTATTGGCACGGAAAGTATTGCACATTCTAAAAAAAAAAAAAAAAAAAAGCAAGAGAGTGTGAAATGGGACAGATGTTTAGAAAGAACCAATTGTTTTACAATTCCTATACCTGAAACAGAACCATGAAAAGCATGAGGATGTTCCTATTGCTCCAAACCATGTGTGTTTTCCCGTTTTAGTGTTGGGGTGGTGGATCCGGTCAGTTCAGTACGGAAAGTAAGCAAGAGGGGTATCGTGTCTCTCTGAGTCCACGTGAGTTGTAGATAGTGGTACCACTGAGAGCAAAGTCTGTGTGGCAGCCCCAGAGTCCTCTTACCATCAAAGGTTAAAAAAACAAAAGGGAAAAACAAAACCTATTCATTGCAAGTGCCCTGAGCAGAATATATGGAAGATTAAGCAAGTTCTCTAAACGGAAATGTTTAAAAAAATACAACACTACAGAAGCAGTGTGACCGCGAGGGTGGGAGGGCCCACCAGGTCCCACCCCACCAGCTCGGCTAGAAAATTCAAGGAAAGAGTCTAGCTATTCTTAACCTACTCAGATGTTTTTGGTACACCCCAGAAAATGGTTTATAAGAATCATTAGTCCCTGTGAGAACCAAATGTAAAGGAATCCTAGGGAGCCAACATGTGGGTTGATGGTAGCATATTTTCTTTTGTAAATTCATAAAATGGCAGAAGTCCTATTTTCAATGGCCACAGAAACATCAAGTAAGTACTTTCTCAGGTTAGCTGCAGCCATCCAAACAACAGTCAAAAATTTCTCCCTGCTTATAAAACCTTTTTTTTAAGCATTTTAAAATGCACTCAAAACCCACAAATGATATCAGATATCTTGGGAATGAAAGATGTAACCTATGAAATACCCTTTCTGGGTTTGTACCAAACACGAAATCTTGATTGGATTCCAAATAGAAAAAAAAAAGTCATCTGAAAACATTAATAACAATAATAGTAAAGTAAGTCTTTAAAAAAAAAAACTTGCTCACAAATACAAATGTTGATGGAAAACTCTCTCAGTGAGTCTGAAGACAGTTCTCCAGGTTGTCCTGCTGAGACCTGGCTTTTTGTGACAGAGGCGGCAGAAAGACCAAAGTGAATTCTGAAAGGAACATAACCTTATAAAACAGCCTAGAGCTTAGGCAGTTTAGAAAGAAATTCTGCTACATTTATTTATGCTCGTTCAGTCCCCCAAACCTTTCCCACAATGTTATTAGGTAAAAACTGCAGGAATATCACACCAATTATAAACTCAAGATGTGCAAATCGCAAGGTTCTTTAAAAGTTCATCTTAAAAGGAAAAACACTGGACAAAAATGAGGCTTCTCTCCATCCCTTCTCTCTGTTTCTCTGCCAACTCTGCATATATGCCTTTCACTCCTTCTCCAACATCAAAGTGACAAGTGCCTCCTGTCAGGTAGTACTTGGTGGTCATTTTCTGTCATACACTAGCTCGTCATTCACGTTCGTCCCTTTCAACCACACGGAGACTTTCCAAATCTTGCCGGGAGCAACTCTGCAGAGCTGAAATGCAGTTAACAGTGTTGACAAACAAAAAAGAAAGCAACTTAGTTTTTGTGTGTTGGTTGATTTTCTTTCCCGAAAGTTGAAAGTGAGATACAGTACTCGTTGAATGACACAGATCAAGATGCTTGATGATAAAGGGTGACAGGCATTGTAAGTGCTTAGAAAACAGGAATCTATGCTCATTTTCAGAATCGAATTCCTCGTGTCACACTGGAATCTGAAAGCAGTGGCACCCGTGCTGTCCATTGCCATGGACTCTTAAGTAGGACTGCAAAGACACAAAGACTTGCCAACTCAGCGCGAGAGCTCCTGGTGCTCTCACTGCTGGGTGGTCTGCATCTACCTTTCTGGAGCCACAAGGCTAGGATCGGACTGGTTCTCCTAGCACTGCACAGAACCAGCGAGGGTGTTCCCTCACCCCAGCCCCAGCCCCCCATCATGGTGCAGGCTGTGTTGGGGGTGGGGAGGGTGATACGGGCAGGGCCTCCCTGCCCACGGCGACACCCTTGGCGACATCACTGCACTAGTAAAGCAGAAATGAAATCCCACGTGTGGCAGTTGCTCTTTAAAAAAAAGAAATATGTATCAGTGCAGTCAAGGCCCCATAGGGGGAAATATATCTCTATATGATTAAAAGTTGCTTTTATTGTAAAATGTGTTGGAGAGAAAAACGTTCTTTGAAACGGAGAGCTTTCCTTTCCATCTGCCGCCTGCCCTGAAGCTGGGGTCCTGATGTTGACTTTGAATGTGGGAACCCCAGGAGGATGCTGCTCTGCACCGCCCCCTACCCCCAGCCCCCGCTGAAGGCAAGAGGGCAGCACAGAGGGAGGCAGGGGCCGAGAGACCCTCACCCGCCCGCTGTGGCCCCCACGCACCCTCACAGGCACACGCCCCTCTACCCCTGCAGGTCCCTTCCCATTGGCCTCTCTCGGGACCCCGGCGGGCCCGGGCACCTGCCGGCTGCTGCCCTGCCTGCCAGTGGCCCACCCGCCACTCCCCGACAGACACTCGCGGACAAAGCGTATGCACCAGTCTCCTGCGACACACCTGCTGTAACTGTAATGACAAGGTTAGAACAGAAATCTAAAGTAAGAGGATAACATGTAAATACTGTGTTATTTAGCCTACAGTACAGTAATCTGGATACGAAGGAAGGGCACGGGACGGCCGCGGCGCCTCGTCCGCTCTGCCTCTACTTGCCCACGTTAGACCGGCCCTCGATGCAAATCTTGACCTCCTGAGGAATCAGAGAAGGCTTGGGAAGAGTCAAAGGCGGCTCGTCCTCCGACTTCTCCAGTTTGCGGGTCTCCGGCGCCGACCACCTCCTCTTCCTCGCGGCCGCGGGCCTGCTGGGTTCTACTTTCGTGAAGAAGGGTGCCGCGGGCAAGCCCATCTTCTCTGGAAACTTCAGTTCACCGTTCTCAGACAGCATCTGAGCGCTTCCCTGATTGAGCCCGTTCTCCTGCTCGGCGTACCTGTGTCTGCTGCCCGCCAGGCTGTCGGTCTTTGAGCGCTTCAGCAGGACACTGGCAGCATCTGCGGGCTGGCCCTTTTTAACAGAGCCATTCTTGGCGTTCTTGAGGGTGAGCGAGATGCAGACGTCACCTACTGAGAGTCTGGAACACGGCAGATCAAAGAGCTGGCTGGTTCTCTCCGGGCAGCAGGACGACCAGCCCTGTCCAAACACAAAAAAAGGATACTCGACCAAGACTTCCACGCTGACCTGTGGGAACAGGGAGAGACAGAGAGGCAGACAGGAGGGAAACCAGTGAGAGCTCTGTATTTTTGCTTGATTTCCTTCCTTCCTTCCTTCCCTCCTTCCTTCCTTCCCTCCTTCCCTCCTTCCTTCTCTCCTTCCTTCCTTCCTTCCTTCCTTCCTTCCTTCCTTCCTTCCTCCCCCCCCCCCACTCACACACACACACACACACACACAGGCTGCATGTTAATAAATTAGACTCCACTAACAAACTTCCCTTCCCTAGCAACACAACACAATGAGGCCCTTTGCTGCCTGTTGTATCTGCGTTTACTACATAGAGAAGCTGGGCAGGAGCCAATGCAGAAAACGGTCCAGTGAAAAGGTCCATTCAGTATCCAAATACTTCACTTAGCATTAGCTCTATCCCTGGTCTCTGTTAAAACAAGTCAGCTGGGGGTCAGCATTGTGGTACAGCAGGGTTCAGCCGCCGGCGGCAATGCTGGGCTCTCATAGGAGCACAAGTGTGTGGGCTGGTGGCTCTGCTTCCAATCCTGCTCCATGCCAGAGGTGGGGCTACAAGGAGACATTTAAGTATCACAAACAAAGGCAAGGAGAGGGTACGGGATGGGTATTTGCAAAATAGCCAAAGTCTGAAAGGCACCCGATGCTTTTAAGAGTTTAATTCTCATGAAATTAAATTTATTCAACATTATAAAAAATTTAGAGAGAGAGCAATGAAGTAGTTTAAAAAGTCAATTTTCAATGGCTGTTTGAGATGTATTAGACTAGGCAATTTTGGAACAAGCTTCCTACTAAGGAAAACTGGAAGCTGTCAACAACAACAACAAAAATACCATAAAAACAACAAAATTAAAAATTCTGAAGAAAATGTTAAAAAGCATTTTTATCAGGGCCAGCGTTGTGGTGTTGATGCCAGCATGCCATGTTGGTGCCAGTATGAGTCCCAGCTGCTCCACTTCTGATCCAACTCCCTGCTAATGGCCTAGAAAAAGCAGTGGAGGGTGGATCAAGGGTTCAGGCCCCTGCCACCCATTTGGGAGACCCAGAAGAAGCTCCTGGCTTCAGCCTGGCTCAGCCCCAGCCATTGCAGCCATCTCAGGAGTGAACCAGCAGATGACGATCTGTCTGTCTCTCACTCTCTCTGTGTAACTTTCAAGCAAATAAATAAATGAATAAATAATTTAAAAAACACTGTTTAAAGGCACTGGACAGAAATAAGACAGTAAAAAACTTAACTGTGTCAAACCAGAAAAGGATATGATAGCCCACAGATTTGAACCTGGTGGTGTTCCAAGACAACTTTGAATATTTCAAAGTAGAGCAGTTATAAGATTAAGTGGGCTTCTGGGAATCTCAATAGCATTTTGTGTGTGTGTGTGTAATGCAGTGCAGGGTACACCAAGGGACGGTGATCTTTGGTGAACCCCGCTTTTTTTTTAAGATTTATTTTATTTATTTGAAAGACAGAGTTACAGAGAGAGGTAGAGACAGAGAGAAAGTCTTCCATCTACTGGTTCACTCCCCAGATGCCCACAATGGCCAGAGCTGCGCCAATCTGAAGCCAGGAGCCAGGAGCCAGGAGCTTCTTCTGGGTCTCCAACTTGGGTGCAGGGGCCCAAGCACTTGGGCCATCCTCCACTGCTTTCCCAGGCCACAGCAGAGAGCTGGATTGGAAGTGGAGCAACCGGGACTAGAACTGGCGCCCATATGGGATGCCGGGCGCTTCAGGCCAGGACATTAACCCACTGTGCCACAGCACCGGCCCCGAACCCCGATTTTTAACCTCTGATCCCAAACACTATGCCTTAAAAGTAAGGGTGCATCAGAAGTGGATAGGCCTTCCAAGGTCTGAAGTCAAATCTTAATCATCTCAGTCTCTAACACTGGATTCAGCTCTTGAATTATTTACACACTGTTGCAAATACTACATTACCATTCAATTTTGAAAAGGGAGGAAGAATGAGGAGACCAAGAGAGAAGCAAAACTAATAAAGACAAAACATCTGATCATAAGAACAGACCCACAGGGGCTTCTGGTAGTCACCAGGGACTTAAAAATGACCCTGCTTACAATATTTCAGGAGATGAAACACAAGCTTGAGGAGTGGGGAGAAAACTAGAATCTTAATTTTTTAAATGATATATTTATTTATTTGAAAGGCAGAGAGAGAGAGAGAGAGAGAGAGAGAGAAAGAGAAAGAAAGAGAGAGAGAGGTCTTCTATCCATCTACTGGTTCACACCCCCAGATGGCTGCAATGGCTGGAGCTGGGCCAATCTGAAGCCAGGAGCTTCTTCCATGTTTCCCACGGGGGTGCAGGGGACCAAGAACTTGGACCATCTTCCATTGCTTTCCCAAGGCCATAGCAGAGAGCTGGATCGGAAGTGGAGCAGCCGGGACTTGAACTGGCATCCATACAGGATGCCGGCACTGCAGCCAGCGGCTTTACCCATTATGCCTGCCCCAAATCTAATTTATTTTTTAAATATTTCTGGACACTCTAGAATGAAAGCACTATATTCACTAAGATCAAGATAATTTTCCAGCTGAATAGACACAGTTGAAGAAAGAATTAGTGAACTGGGTTCTGTAATTGGATTCTGAACTAGATTAAGAGCTTTAGAAGAAACTACAAAAAATGAATCAAAGGTACAAAAAAGGGGGGGGGGGCTAATTCAGAGGAGAGCCTAAGAGACAGAAGATACATTGAGAAGGTCTAATAGATGCACAATTTGAATCCTAGGAGGAAAGAGACAGAACTAATACTTGAATTTTCCCAGACTAACAAGAGGGAAGTCACAAACTCAAGAAGACTTAGCCCCAAGAAAGAAGAGTGAGGAAATATCCTCACCCAAGCAGGTTATAGTTAAACTGCTCTAAGCCAGAGATAGGAAAGAAAAATCTTAAAAGCCTCCAGATCAAACAGACATTACCTCAAATCAGTAACAATTACATTCACACTCTCCGTCAACAAAAATAATGGGAGCCGGAAGACAATGGAATATCTTTAAAGTGCTGAGGTAACAGAGTTGCCAATCAAGCATTCTATACAGAGCACAAAGCTTCTTCAAGAATGAAGGCAAAATAAAGACGTTTCAGACAAACAGTAATTAAGGGAACTCACCAGCAACAGAACTGCTCTACAGAAAATACTAGAGTAAGCTTTCAGAAGGAAAAAAAAAAAAACCCACAAAGAATCTAGAGAGAGGTTTGTAGATGCAGGGAGAAATGAAGAGCAAGGAAACGGGAGCTATGTGGGTAAATCCAAATAAGCATCGGCTCTATACAATAGTGAAAATGTCCACTGAACTTCATACACTTGCATTATACCTACTCATAAACCATTAAATACTAATACAACTGTGGAAAGTAATAAATTTCCATGGAATGGACATGGAGTGTGACTCTTCTGCTTAACCTTCTGTATCTTCTTTGACAACTCTGATCATTTTAGTTAAATACACACTTCTTGAATGACAAGGTTTACTGGAAGCAGATAAATGTGTTCAGATAGGACAGCTGGAGAGAATCCGTGTGGAAGCCCACTTCTGTTGTGTGTGTATGAGCATGAGCTTACACACAAGTGTACACATCTGGGGAAAAGTTTCATAATCATTCGGGGCTGTTTATTTTAAAAATTATTTATTTTCATTTTATTTGAAAGGGAGGTAGGGAGAGGAGGGAGGAGGTAAGAGAGGCAGGTGGGTAGATCTTCCACCTACTAGTTCACTCCTCAAATGGCCATAACAGTCAGGGATGGGCCAGACCAAAGCCAGGTGCCTAGAACTCAATCTGGATCTCCCACGTGGGTTGCAGTGATCACCTACTGCTTGTCAGGGTGTGTGTGGACTGGAATGTCGATTGGAAGCAGAGAAGCTGGGATTCAAAGCAGGCACTCCAACATGGGATGCAGGTGTTCCACGTAACAACTTAATCACTGAGCCAAACGCCTCCCTATTCTGGGCTGTTTTAATGATGTAAAGAAAGCTAAAAATTTTTGAGTGTCTACCATCTGTCAAACACCCAGGTATCAATTTCATAAAAAGTATTTTGTTTAATGTTCACAATGTACTAGTGAGATGAGTATTGCTATTCCAGTATTACAAATAGTCTCCAAGAGATCTGAGAAATCACTTGCCTAATGTCCTAGCTATTAGTTTATTGAAGTGGGAATCAATCCTAGTTGTTGGTCCTGAAACCGGTTCTCTATGTTGTCTGATCTCTATCCCTATGACCAAAGATATTACAATTCTACCAAAGAGATGAACTTAACCTTTCTACTACCCCAACAGTGTTGAGTATTACTTGACATAAGTAGGATCCAATAGCATGAGCCTGCTTTGTGTCATGGTACAGAAAATTGTTTAATGGTGTGTGCCTTAAACAATTGTAGTCACCTTACATAAGTGTGGGTAAGACTCATGTCCATTCCCAAAACAACACTTATATCACAGACACATAAAAGGAGCCTTTAAGAAGTTCATGAAAAATGGCATTCAGAAATGTTTATTTAGTGCAAAGGAACTCTGAAATCCATGAAGTGAGTCTTCAAAAAGCTCATGGAACATGTGTATTATGAAAATGCTATGCATGGATTTCAAAATTCTTTTTTTTTTTTTTTTTTTGACAGGCAGAGTGGACAGTGAGAGATAGAGACAGAGAGAAAAGTCTTCCTTTGCCACTGGTTCACCCTCCAATGGCTGCCGCTGCTGGTGCACCATGCTGACCCGAAGCCAGGAGCCAGGTGGTTCTCCTGGTCTGCCATGCGGGTGCAGGGCCCAAGCACTTGGGCCATCCTCCACTGCACTCCTGGGCCACAGCAGAGAGCTGGCCTGGAAGAGGAGCAACCGGGACAGAATCCGGCACCCTGACCAGGACTAGAACCCGGTGTGCTGGCGCCGCAGTGGAGGATTAGCCTGTTAAGCCATGGCACCAATCTCAAAATTCTTTTGTATCAAAATAAACATATTTTCCCAGGCCATTAGCAGGGAGCTGGATAGGAAG